ATGTTAAGGATCAGGGATGAAAACCACTCATGTCTGCTCTAGGAGGGCTCGCGATATGCTGAGCAGGGACAAGGCATACATTTCCACTCTGAGGCACTGGACACCCTAAGAGAGTCATCAGCAAAGTGCGATGGAAACATAGATGAGGAAATAATCCTGAGTGGGCAGGAGGGGAAGGGGCTTGAAACTATACACAGAGGAGGGCTTTGAGGGGAGCCATGAGGCGTGGACAGTGTGCCGCACATTTTCAAATCATGAACTTCGACGGCTTAAACGATCTGAGCCATTTTTAGTCCGTGTGCCTCATTTTAAGATGGAGAACATGAGACTTGGCGTTGTTAAGTGATTTGCTGAAAGGCACTGAAAGCTAAAGTCAGAGGGGGCGGAGTCCAGAGGGCAGGGTTTCCAGGTGACTGCACTTTCCAATTCCCTCAGGACTCTGTCCCCAAATCAGTGTGCCCCTTCACAAATCCCACCCCCTGTCCAGTTCAGGCCAGTTCACGTAGGCTCATTATTGAGCAGGAAAACACTGACGTGACGTGAAAATCGCTGTTTAAAGGAGGCAATGATTAAAGCAAAAATCTAGGAGTAACATTGTTAGTTTCAAGATGACCACCTTTATGTCCTTCACTTGTTGGGAGACACGATGCTGCTTATCTGGACACTATTAAGTTTGGTACAAAAAGAAGTGTTACAAGATTTACCTTTCTACTGAATGCCAGTGATCCTTAAATGACAAGTGTTATTTATTATCTGAAATATCCCTGGAAACCCAAGCCCATCTGACGCCTCCTTGCTAGGGCCTGGCAGTTGGAATCGGGCCTTTTGCCATGGTGACAGATGGTCCGAAATGTCAGCAGCCAAAGTACCGTATATGTGCGCTGATTGTGAAAGTTTGGGGTGTGAGCCTTAGCCCACATGGCGTTCCGTGCTGATGTGGATGGACGTGGTGAGGGAGCTGGGCCCAGGGAAAGGGTCTTGGCGTGGTGGCAGATACAGGTGTTCAGGCTCTTTGGCCTCGCGGTTCTTTCTGAACAGTCCCAGTCATTTTTAACTCGACAGAAAATTGCATTTCATATGTGTGTGGACCTCCACGTATTTCAAGCATATGCTTTTTTTGGATGTGCCTTAAGCCCCAAGCAGCCAGACAACGAATTTGGCACCCGGGGATGGCATGGAGCCAGGCTATGCTCTCGGATGAAGTGAGCAGGACGTGTATGTCGTGTAGAGTTAATATTTTTCTCATAAGAAATAGATGTGACTGCAACCTCGAATTTGAAGTTTCAGATCCAGTTGACTGCATTATCGATCAAAGGTGTACATAAGGTTTTCACAGATTAGCAAAATGGAGAGATGGCACCCGCACATGATTTTGGCCGTTGGAAAGAAGGAAATTCGTTTGGCCATATGGTGATCAAATGGCAATTATTAACTGCTCATTGCTTAGCTGTTACTGTAGCATAAACATAACCATATATGGGTCGGTTCGGTTAAGCTGCGGAGGCCGTGCTCCTTCATTATGTCATCTGCATGTTCTTCTTAAAGACGACAATGATTGAGCTCAATTTCATTCTCATTTTCAGTACAACGAATGTGAATACAGTTAGTCTGTTAATTAAATGCCTATATGGTTATTGGTATCACTGGCTACATTTTAACATACACTGATCATATAACGCATGCAAATGTAGTTTTATGGCATCCTAAGTGGAATATTTGTATCATGAAAATCTTCAAATTTTACAAATGCTCTTTTTTGGTTGCCATTAGTGTGAGTTTTTCCCTTTTTAATCCTTAATGAAATATGGTTAAACATTTCAACAATTATTCTGACACTGAGCACGACAAAATATCTTTCCCCATTTAATTCTAGCACACTGATGATGATTAAATGTTAATCTTAATGTTTTTTAAATGTTAGGGAATCAGATGGGAAATAAAATTTAGTGCCTTTTATATTTAATGTTTTGTGCACATTGAAACCAATGACAAAAAAATCGTTAATACTTTCTGTAGAGTTACCATACACCAAAGACAATAACTCTACTAATTGAGTTTTCCCATCAGGGAAATGAAGTAGGGGAGCTGATTGGCATGGCTTTTTCCTTGCTTGCCTTCCTCCAAATGCAAAATTCATCACTCATCTCTCCGTTCTTTCCCCAGTTTGAAAGATCGTATGTGGGGAAGACCTGGCCCATCATGTGGAATGCAAATTATATTTATTAATCTTTCTTTCCACCCTCCCGCCCTCAGACATTTCTGGATTGGGAATTTGAGTGCAGAGGCAATTCAAATGCAAATAGAGATCCTCTTTTGCACTTGAACTCACCATGACCCACCTCAGAGCTCCTTGTAAACAGGTCATACTGTAAATTCCTTAGAACCAAACAAAGAAAAGCATAGACAATCTAGGCTTTCATACACAGCTCAAATCTTTACAAATATGTAAAAGTTTAGTCTCCCGCTGGCAGGGTGGTGTACAGGGTTCGAGAATGGCTGTTCGGTTTCAGTCTTTTTGCCTTAAGTTCAGTAGTAGCTGAACAGGACGGGAAACTGAAAGAAAGCAATTTTTACGTTTGTCTTTATAGTCGAGTGTTTTCCTAAACCCTCTCCCTGCATGTACTGTGTGTGGGCAGTCGCAGAAGATACGATACCAACAGGGTTCCAAAGACGGACTGGGCTCTCTCGGGAAGAAATAAGTGCTTTCTCGTAAGAGATATGTGTAGAAAGTATGTATAGTAGTAATATGGGTGCTAACGTTAATTATATACATATACTCGTAATGTCTGTTTCTAAGTATATACTCTCTGTAGTTGGGTAATTTTACTTCTTGGGGTCTAAAAGCATAAAGGGTATAGAAGTACTGATAAAGTTTTAAACCTGATTAAGGAAACTTAGAGCGGTTTTCCTGCTACATTTTGGAGCAGAGCTGATGGTATGTCCTTGTGGGAAAGTTAGTACATATAAATAAAACAAGAGAAACATAAAAAAGTAAAATGATCATGCTAGACCCTGAGAGTCCTGTGCAACATTTTAGGACAGGTTTCTAGTGGAAAACTAGACAAACAACTTTGTCTAGCTGCTTTCCAGACAAATGAGAAAGGGAGCTATTTGATACTGGATACAAAGGAAAAGAGGAAAATGGTTAAGATGGACATGAGCAACCTTTCTCTTTTTTTCCAGATAGTCTCATCTGTGCTACAATTGATCCCTTTTCTTATAGCAAAAAGGACTAAAGGTCAGGATTTCCAAGGGCCGCGGCTTATGTCAGCACAGCTCATAGCACGGGTCTAATACCTCCATACGAAGTTTGCGCCTGTATGATGTTACATGGGACAAAGAGAGAAAATGGAGTATTAAATAGTGTTTTTTCAAACATCGTTCTATTATCATTCGTAACCCTCACATTCACTAGTATCATGAAAATGCCACTCTTGATAATTTTATGTTTTAATCACAATGTTAAGCTAAGAATAAAATTAGTAGTCCAAGCTGGTAGACTATTTCCGCACGCTAGGAATGACCTTAGCTTGTGAGCCTTAATGTATATAACATAGGATAGATATCACTACGAACATCCAAAGAGCTGACCTTTGATGCAAAGTGCTTGTGATGTTCCCGCAGTATATTCCCCCAAATATGTAAATACATATATATATATATATATATATATATATATATATGTATGTGTGTGTTTTCCTTTTAAAGAAACATACTAGCAGCCTCTCTGAGTTCTTTTTTTTTCCCCCCCCCTGAGTTTTATCAATACTTCTACTTGACAATAACTAGGAAGGCCAGTGGAAGGGGACTGCAACAGTCTTGAGAGCAAAGCCAGCTCCTGTTCCCCATGTCACCTCACGCGTCTTTGTTCCTTGGCTGCGCGTTTCCAAACTTGATCAGGCGGCTCCGCCTCTGCTGTCTCCATAAAAGAGTAAAAAGGGCAACCAACATGCCCAGCGAATGAATGAGTAAATATGAGATTTTCAACACAGAAAATACTAGTCTATCAATTACACATCCTGCTCTATTCCCCTGAAGTCAAGAGATGAGTCATTTTTCTTGTTACTGGGCCTCCTCTGATAATCAAAGGGACAAAGTGCCGGGCGGGGCATCTCACGGCGGGCTCAGCCCACCCTTGTTGGTAATGCTCTGTGTCTGGGTCTCATTTGATGTCAGATCGTACAGTTCCCTGGTCATAGCTCACGATTTTCTATTGATGGGCTAGCGCTAACGGCCACGTGGAGGGTTGTCCATCCTCTAGGAATGAACTTCTCCTTGGGGTTGATGGAGGTCACAGAAATCATGAATCGGGTCCTTTGAAAATATTTATTGTCACTAGTTTGTGATTCCATCAGTCATTTCTTGCTTGGCTTGAGTGTCTCCTGAATACCAATACTACCACCACCACCACCACCACCACCACCCGCATTTTTTTTCATAAAATGTCATTTTGGGTGAAATATTTTTGTTTGTGTGAGTTAGTTTTGGAACAATCTCAGCATGATTTTTTTTTTTTGCACTGTTTCTGGTTTCTTGAATTCTCTGCAAAAGTGTAACTTTCTTTGCATTCTTTCTTTTTTTAATTAAAGTTTATTGGGGTGACAATGATTAGCAAAGTTACATAGGTTTCAGGTGTACAGCTCTGTAATCCATCATCTATATATCACATTGTGTGCTCACCACCCAGAGTCAGTTTGCATTCTTGAGTTTACTAATTCCTCAGCGCACTGCCTAATGGGCCTAGCACTCCAAATTTTATCATATATTTATGTAGCAATAATCTCTTTATAGACAACTAAGGCAGAACAGTGCAAAGTAATTATCAACTCAGTTGTCGATTTTACATCTTCCAAATTTCTTACATATAGCATGTGTATGTTAATACTTCCTCACTGCTTCTGAATAGTTCATTAAGACAACCCATTTTCCTGGAAGAACTTTACTGCTTCTTTTCTTGGTGACTCTATTCTGTGCCACGTGAGATCATGCCATGAGAAAAATTTCTCACAGCTCCCTTTGAAGAGGTACTGATATGTTAAAGCTTAGGTTCCAGAAACACTCTGATGGGCTTGGAAGCACATTGCTGTAGAAGTGGTAGCCATCACTTCCTGAAGTAGTGAATTGTTCATAAATGTGTTTTGAAAGAACATTAGCTTGAGCCCTGGGCGCCCCGTGCTGTAGGTATCTGTCGGCTTTAATGGGATCTTAGGACTTGAACTCCAGATGTGGAACTGTGCATGCTACCTTCAGCATCTCCATTGCTGTTTACCGGGTGACACAATGGCCAATGGATACTTTCTTTCTGAATCTGGTAGGAGCTTTGGGTGAACCTGTAGATTTAATAATTAAGAAATGTCTTACATTTTAAAGAACATTTCAAGGGTTTAAACTAGAGAGTTGGGTTGAGAGTCAGGTCGAGAAGTAGCCAGCCTTCTCTGTTTCTTCCTCACGGCCAGCTCTGCTCCCCATCACTACACAATTTCCACACCTGACCCCTTCCAGTCGTCCTTGAGGGACTTGGACACCCTGTGTCCTGTGTTTTGATCCCCCAGCTTACATGGGAACGTACACTGTGACGTGTGTGTGGACACATCTGGCATGAGTATTTATTTCTGTGTTCACGCCCAGTTTTCTGGGTTTAATAAGATGATCGTGTCATACTTCTAACTACTGTTTCTTGAGCACCTATTCTGTAGTCCTTATCACCACTATGCAAGAGAAGTGTTGTGTCCCCTACTTTACAGGTGAGGACACTCGAGCTTGGAGATTTTCTGTGATTTTACACATGGAATACATTAAGTAAGGGCCATGTCGGGGAACCCAAGGCAGGTTAAGTGATTTCAAAGCTCATGCTGGGTCCTGTTTATCACGATGCCCGCTGAATAACCCGTGTGTGAAATTCCTGGGTGAGCCTCATCCATGTGACTTTCCAAACCACCTACTCTGTTTCCTTTAGAATTTTAAGTTATTCATTCGGCAGCAAATGACTGATCACGCGATATATGCCAGGCATTGTGCCGGGCCTGTCCTCCTGGCCTGAAAAATATCTTCTCTATTTAATTCTTGCCTAAGAAAACACTAAACTTAATTTTTAAAAGCCATAAATTTGTGTTCTTTCACTGTTTTCTGAAATATAGCAATAAAAGATAATGGATATGCGCTGAGGAAACCCTGAATATTTACGGCAAATTCTGAAAAGAGTACATTTTAGATCCCTACTGAGATGCTATAAATCACAATTCTATCAAATGATTTAGCCATAGAAAGGGACATATTTGTGTCTTAAAGACGGTAGCTTGTTTCTTTTAATAGAATGATCCTGACAATTTTAGTATGAGTTTCGTTACATAAATGAATCTTCTTTTCCCTTTTCTGCTAATAAAATGCTTTTAGAAATAAATTACTTCAACTGGGGTGCAATGGATGAGGATATTAAGCAGTCTTGTGAACAGTTAATTGTGACTGGAAGTCACTTATTTTTTACCTAGGAATTATCTCATACATTTTGAAATTGGGCAGTGCCTACTAAGTTTAGCTATATTTCTCCCTGTAAGCCGTAATAAATGGATGTATTATACAAATGCAGTGGTGGAAAGTTGATGATTGTGGGGATCTATTGCCTCTATCCATAGTCTCATAGTGTTTAATGCCCACGGATTCCCTGTGACGCCCAGAGCTGACCTGGACCTCGGGCCCCGTTTCTGTGAAGGAAACAGGAAGGTCTCTAGGTATTTTTGCACAGACGGGAATTTATAAAGAAGCCTCTTTCAAAACCATTGCTAGTCCTGGAGCAATGTGACCTCTGGTGGCCTTCCTGGAATGATGACGGCCATTGCATCACTGGTTTACCAGGTTAAGTGCTTCTAACAGCCAGGAGGGTGGGGACTCAGGAGGCCGTGACTCCAGCTGTTGAGTCTGAGAATAGGTGGCCGAGGCGGTGAGGCGAGGATAAGGAAGCCTGAGTCAGGCTCCAACCCCAACAATCACTCAGAGCCAGGAGACAGGTCATTTCTGCTAAATTGCCATTAACATCCAAGAACTGGAGACTAGATTCTGATATGTTGAAACTCCTGACCACCACCGTGGTCTCTCAGCGGCCACAAAGCTAATGCTGGCATCTCCATGAGTTGCCAACAGGAAATAGCTGAAAACATCAGTAAATTGACTTCAGCCTCTTGGTACGTCGAATTGGAAAGTCATCGTAATGACGTCCTCTCACATTTGTTCATTTAAGCACATGGTAACAGAGTTTCTGGTTGAATGGCTTTGTGGATTATATTTTCAAAATTTAAAAACACAAATGCTCAAAAAATGGACAAGTGACCAAGAAAGATTCTGGGACCGAAATTTGGGTTGAAGATGCCACAAGAATCAAAGTAAACCAACAAGAAGAAGATGGCAGCTCTAGTGCCATCCCTGGCTGAGGGTACAGAATCTGGGCTCTGACCATCCCGTTGGAGCTGTGGCCCGGTGGGAAGGGACTGGCTGAGCCACATTTCATACACTTACACTGCATTACACTCAGGCTCCAACCCTCAGCGCTTTAAGCAGGGGCTATTGTTTGCATCTGACACTAGCTCATGCAGGCAGGCTGCTGTGCACAAGGCAGGCTTCTGAGTCTAAGTCAGGCTGCGGTTGGCTTCTTCTTGCTTTTTATTCTGAGAAGCAGGCTGCAGGAATAGCCTTGCTTGGGACCGGGACAGGGCACACGAGCCCTGGTGGCCATTCGCGATGCTTTGACGAGCTTCTGTTCCACGTGCCCAGGTGTGAGGAGCACGTCACTTCCACCCCAGTGCATTGTCCAAACCAGTAAGCAGCACTGGTGGGAACAGGCTATATGGTCCACTGGTCAGGGGAGAGGGTGCAAAACATTCAGCCTACCACAGGTGCACGGGGGGCAAATTCCTGGAGTCGTAACATACATCGTTTCATATCCGCGAGAAGCCAGGGATACTCAGCATATCGGTCCCCATTTCACAGATCAAGGGGCTGATTCTGAGTGTGTGAAGGATCTCCAAATGCATATGACCCAGCTGTATGAGAACTTTCTTTCTAGCACACCCCAGAGTAGGTGGGTACTCATTTGGGGGTTCCTTTTAGGACTCAGCACAGTTGCTTGCTTACGGAGTTGATTAATTAGATCTTATGAGATACAGTTCTTTCGCTCATCAAATACTTATTGACCATTTATCTTGAGTCGGGTACTACGCTACGTGCTGAGGGTAAATCTGTGAAAAATACAGAAACTCTGCCTTCATTGAGTTTACCCGAAGTGGGAAATAGTCCATTTTTAAATCACAGGATTTTATCACTTTCCTTTGTCATAATTTGAAATTTCCTGATGAATTATTATTAACCTAAGTCTGTTTACCAAGGGGAAGGACTAGGAATGTTGTATGCCATTTTAGCAGAAGAAGTGATGAACAGGATGAGAACAGAATTTAGAATAGAAGCGTCTTATGTTCTGGGGTCCGTGGGGGTTCATCCTGCACAGTCATTTTTCCTTTTTTATAGTTTTCCCCCTGTCATTCTTGCCCCTTCTGTGTGCGCCTTTAAAGTTTTAGTCTTTCCAGGAAAAGGTAATTAGTATTTATTTTCAGATCTTTACTCATAAAAAGGAAGATGAATGATGGTGAAAACAGGCAAGTGTTGGCTGTGGTTGGCATCGAAATATCTTTGTGTGTCCTGAGGGAGGCAGCCTGAATCGATGGCTCAGAGCGAAGTGGAAACTGGGGCTACTAACCGTTGCCTTGTTCCTACGTGCCACAGGGTCCCTGGCCCCGCGGAGGGACCTGCACCCTGGGAGGTAGGAAAGCGATGGGGCCCNGGGGCTACTAACCGTTGCCTTGTTCCTACGTGCCACAGGGTCCCTGGCCCCGCGGAGGGACCTGCACCCTGGGAGGTAGGAAAGCGATGGGGCCCATGGTAGAAGGTCCTGGGCATTAGTGCGGAGGGTTCTGGGTAAAACAGAAACTGCCTTTGTGTGTCCCACCCTCTTCCACCTCTTGTTCTCTTTGTACCATACACTCTCTCTTTGCTTTCTCCACATTCCTTTTTACTGCACCCGTGACTCCACACTTTTTGCATATATCAGTTTTCTTGTCTAGCTCATAAAACTGTCAAGCAGCTGTTTCCTACCTCAGTCAGGGAGCAGATATTTATTGAGAACCAGTAGAAGTCTGGCACTCTGGAAGGCACAGGTCAGCCGAAATAGACAGCAGGCGGGCTCTCTTTGGCGCTCTTACCGGTCGGTCTCCACACCACTGCACCGTTTTCCCTGGGTTAAAAGTGTACAGATAGAGTCCAGATATAAATGACAATGACACTGGCTCTGGTCGTCATCAGTTACATCCGCCATTTTCAAAAACGTTAATAGGAATGGTTCTAATAAATAGTCCAACTAATACAAATAACTAACAAGGAAAGAAATCAGCTTTCAAGCTTTGAGAGATGAAGTTACAGTGTTATATCTAAAAATCAGAATTCCGGGCAACTTGGAACTTGGTTAGAAGAATTGGGGGAAGAGGAGAGGGCATCGCGATGGTCTGAAATGGGACCTGGCACCGCCTGTCCCCTCTGTGTGTCCACATCAGCCCCCTGACCCCTCTTCTCATCTTAGCGGGAACACGCCCTGTCCCCATCCCAAGGTTAAGTCCTATAGCATTCATGCCACGCCAGCCGCTCGGTCGAGATAAACGCACCATTGAGATTTCCTCTTCAAAAGGATGTAGACTATGATAGAAACATCAGTGGCTCCTAATATGTTTGGGTGAGTTGAATGCAGTTTCAAAATGAAGCCAAACATTAACCTGGGCTCTGTTTAATATTATTCTTAAGATTAGCCAAGATTTAGAAACAGCATCACATTTGGAAGCGGAGTAATTTTATGTTTTATATTTCACCTGAGAGGTAAATGGGACATTTGCATTCACTTACTCGTGTATCTGTTTGCTTAAATCGAAAGATGACTCATCCTGGCCTTGCTGTATAATGGAAAGCGATGTTAAAATTCACTCATCAGATCTAAATAGATATCTTGAGGGCCGACTCTGAGCCCCCCAGTGGGGAGTCAATAAAAACACACAGCTTAGAATCAGTCACTAGTGAGGACTGAAATTAATTAATTACACAGATGTGAAATGACAGCGTCACAAGCGCATGAAGTGCCCTCCACGGTGGTATCGAAGCATGGTTGATCAGCTCTCAAGTGGCCTCGATAGCAGGTCCTGGGCACTAAAGTGTATTCATTTGATGCTCTTTTTAGAATATCATTTGATATTAGTCATCCTGCTTCCTCTTAAAGTATTTCAATTGCACGACCAGTAAAAACTACAAAATCTACAAGCACTGGATAATTTTTTAAAATATCATAAAAAGCGCCTACAAGTGCAGTAAACCTTTTGTTTTCTTAAGTGTTTTGATATTAAATAGGAGCTTAACACAATTTAAAATCATGAGTCTAAATAAATATCCCGGGATAACCTTTTAAATTGATGTCGCCAGTCTGACATGTTGCATTAATAGGTTGAAAGGTCTAAAATAGTATAAGTACATAAAATTAGGTCTAGATTAAAAAATATATATTTTATTGCCCCAAATGAATTCCTTCAATTGTAACTATATTCAGCTTATTTCTGTGGCAATTACAGGGGGGAAATCCCCTACAGAACTGAACGCTCCCTGCTGGCAGAGCTAACATGTAACTTTAATCCCTCATTTCTCTGCCTCTACCCACCTTGGATCAAACACACCAGAAGTCTCACCACTTAGCTATACTTCCTTACTTTTCTGTCTCTATGTGTATATTTTACTTAATTTCATGTTTCTTATTCTTTATAGTATCGCCTTATCAATTTATACTTCTTACATCCTTTATAGTTTTCCTAATCGAAAGTGTATGAGAGCGCTGATGGTGATTGCCTTTATAATTCTGTCTGCATGTTGCAAAATACTGAAATGACTTCTCACCAGAAACAAGAAAAAGCAGTCTGTTGAGATGGACGGAGAGTGGCAGGGCAGGGCACCCAAGAGGAGAAAGCTGTTTAGAGAAAACCGGCCAAGAAATCGGCGTAGGAGCCCCCGGTGGCTGGGTCCTGCATGTGGGCAGGGGGAGAGAACATGAGGTCAGGAGAAGGACAGACAGAGCAGGGGAGCTGTGAGCGGAGCAGGGACCCTGGGGACCGACGAGATGTCCGGTGACTCACAGTGGAGAGAACTCACTGAACGACACAGGCATTTAACTGAGTCCCCAGAATAGTCACCTATTTCTCCTAATAAACAAAGAAGGTTTTTATGAATTACCCATCTCCTCTGACCCTAGAGACCCTCTTATCAATTATCCTAGACCCATCAGGCCAACCTGGCAAACGGGCCACCCTGCCTGTCGCAGCTCCTTCTCTCACTCGGGATTCACCTTTCACCACCACCACCTGGCAGGACCACCATCTCCCATCCTGGTTCACATCCACTACAGGGTCCCTGCCAGCACCCTTGGGTACAGAACATTTCAACAAAACCATTCTTCAAAGGTGACAGTGCACCCCGCCCATTTTTTTAAAAATTAATGTCTGGATGAAGGGAAGTACTTGTGGGTCTTCTAGGAGGGAATGGATGGCCGCTCAGGACTTGGGACCTTTTCCAATGCTATATCAATACCTCCTGGCAACTCAGTGGCGGTGAGCATGGCCCACTTTCGAATCCATCCAAACGAGCACATAATTTGATGTGCTCATCACCGCGAGCCATTAAGACTATGCTCCCTGGTAGATGCATCAAAGCTGGTCATCCAAGTTTATCTAAAATGATGTCTGCCTCCCCTGTATCAGCTCCGACGTCACTCTCACATGGAGATCTGCCTGCGGACATGGGCGCATGGCTGCATTTGGTTTCTAAGGCCAGCCGGAGACCTGACACTGCGTATTAGCTTTAGCACCCCACAATTTCTCTGCTATGTCTTAAAGTCCTCAAGTGTCAGGACCCCCCAGATTCACACGAATACGTCGCTACAGATGGGAGCTGTGTTTCCCCACACAGCTTTATGTGCTTCGTCCGACACCTGAAGACTGGTGCTGTGGCCACTGCCAAACACGCAGCCTCTGCAGCATTTACAGCTTCCTCTTTCTCGTTAGTAATTAAATATTTGACCTTGTCATTGTAAAGCACTTAGGAGCCATTATTTACCAGTATGTAAACCATAGCATCACCATTTCTAGGTTGTATTTTTCAGTGTTTTCTTTCCCCCGGAGTAAAATGCAATTTAATCTAGAATCTATCGGACCAGCAGAGCAAGCTTTCAAAGTCATTAGTTCTCCCTGAGTTCCCTCTTTAGAATTCCTCTGTTTTGTCCAACAATATAAAAATTCAACTTCCCAGACAGGCAAGGCAGCATTGCTCGGGGAAGGCTGCCCTTCTCCAAGTCCGTGGCACCCTGCTTTCTCCCTGAGTTCCAGGATGTGGATGGATGGCTGATTTCAGGGAGCTGTTTCCTAGATCCTCACCTTCGAACTCGCTGCCTCCGCTGTCCGGGGCTGGCAGACGCCTGCTGACCCCTAACAGCTTCACGTGATGACGTCACCTGCCCACTTGTCAGTGGGAAGGCGGCAGAGACGCCCACTCCTGGACGTAAGGCCAGGCGGCATTTCAGTTATTTCGTTTGTCTCTTTGTCCACTTTCTGGTCAGTGCCCATGAGGTTCTCAAAATTAGGTGTACTAAACAAATCCTGACTTGTGTTTCAGTCTTGCTTCTGAGGCAGAATTCAGTGGGACACAGGTAGCTGGTGACATCAGATTATCGCCATCATCGTGATGCGTTTCTGTTTGGTGCACCCAGACCCCGCTCCTGTGGGGCCTGTGTGGGGCCCCAGGAAGGTGACCTCTGTGAACTGAGTCCCAGGTGCCTCAGTGGGGTGAGGCCGATGGGGTCCCTTGGTGGGAGATTGGAGACAGGAGGATGCAGGGGTCACGGTGTCCTTGCCATCTCTCACCCTGCGTTGGCTCCATTTCCAGCAGCAGCTGGAAGGGTCACGACCAGCCCTTGTCCGGTGGCCCTCATCCTCCGCATCAGAGCCCACGGGGCTGTTCCTGCCGTGTCCTCCCCTCAACCCTTCAGGCCAATGGCGGTGAGGGCGTCTCACCTTTGCTTCTCATCGCCGGCGGCTCCAGCACACCTTGTTGGTTCGTTTAATTCAGTTCACACCCTTCAGTAGGGTCTCTGGAACAACCTGAGCTGCTTGGGTCTCTTTCCAGCCTGGGCCCAAGGGAAGCCCCGGGCTCCTGGTCCGCTTCCTGGTGTGTGGTCCAGCTTAGGCTAGTAAACGCTAACGTAAGCCTTTATATGTACCCACTTAACGCTAACATGCGTTATTAATTGATCTCTTTGCTCCTGAAATGGGGGAGAATCTTAATGCAATTAATTTATTTATGACCCGAGGAGATATGATGATAATTTATAACCTTTTCCCGTCCCCTTCCCCCAAAATTATGCCATCTTCCTTGAGACAGGTGAAACTGTAGATGAGTCTTTGTTTTTTACAAAATAAAAAATCATATAAGTTTTGGATACATCTTTCAAAACTTCAGTGCTACTTCCTAAATGACTTTTGTTTCAGCATTGAATATGATATATTTTCCAATTACGTGGGACCATTGAAAACTCCATATGCTTTTATTAACCTGGCAATGCTGATCAGTAGAGGCACGGTCAGTTTATGCTTATGTTAAATTCGTGTTATCAGGTCATTGTCTTTTGTGCTAGGCTATTCATAAGTTCCAAAACACACCAAAACTGTAGACTTTCTTTATTATGTAAGCATTACTCGTGTTAATTTGGAAACCACTCAGTCCTTGTTACCTGATAGAATGTGCCAAACTTGATTTTTAAAATTTTTTAATTACGCTTGACATTGGATGTTATATTTGTTTCAGGTGTACAGCATAGTGGTTGCACATTTACATACCTTATGAGGTGATCCCCTGACAAGTCTAGCACCCGCCTGACACCCCACATCGTCACCACGATGTTACTGACCACATTCTCCACGCTGCCCCCACATGCCCCCGCGACTGTTTCGTAACTGCCAGCTTGTAGTTCTTAATCCCCTCCCCCTTTTCTCCTGCCCCCCAACTCCCTCCCAGCTGTGTCTATGAGTTTTGAACTTGATTTTTGATCACTCAGATGAAGGAAGGAATTAGTAGAGGCAGTCCTCACTTTTCATAATCATGTGGGACCATAAGATGTGAAACTGAAATCATGCATAGTGATCTTAATAACCAGGGAGAAACTATAATGTATCCATTATTTTAAACTTTTTTTTCCAGAACATTACAACCTCTTACTCTCAGTTTTAATCGTATGGGAAAATGAAAACAAATAGTAAAATCTGTATTTATTTAGAACACTAATTTAAGACAATAGAAACATTGAGAATGAAAGTGTTGTCTTTCATTGTAAAAATCTTATCAAGAGTAGTTAGAGCAGGGCTTCCTTACCTCGTCGTGACGTAACTTATGAAGTCAGGCACAGTGAGTGTCTTTTTCATGCCTTTGGTGAACTGTCATATTCCTTTCTAAGTTTGGGTCAGCTTCCAGCATTTTATCCTTTGCAGTTTCAAAGTCATGAAGCCACCTCCAAGAATCCCTTTAAAGTGAAGTGCTTTTGTCACTGACGCTCCCTCTGGGACAGCTGCATCCTTCTTGCCATCCCTCGTCCTTGTCATTTATGTTGATGGGTCTGCTCTTGTGAAGGTCCTCTGGCTGTTTCTTATCTTTGTCCATCTACTCACATGTCACGCCCAGCATTGTCCCTTCTCATTTTTGAAACCTCATCTTTGTTGTCTAATTCCCTCTTTTGATGATTTGTTCTATGAAGTACCACACAGGTTGATCAGTAGGAGACAAGGAGGCAACACAACTACACACTTGCCCGAGTGTAAACAGTCACTAATGCGCAGTAAGCAGACTCTGGAAGGAATAAAATGATTGGCTGCTGAACCTGGTTTGCGTCTGTGCCTTACATAGCGATTTGTGAGCTGAAGAGCTAGCTGCGAAGTGTGTGCTTTATGCTGCTAATCACAGTTCACAGGCAGTGGCAATGGAGCCGTGTTTGGGGATGGGTGTTTAGTAACTGAGTCATGGTCACTGACATGAGCGCTTTTTGGAACCGAGACGAGTGAGGACTACCTGGGCCAGTGCTTGAATTTTGATATGAGAAGACTCATTATTTAGCTTTGTTTATGTCCCTGTTACACACTGGGCATAACTTGGCACGCACAGAAGTCACGATGGTTTGTGACGTCAAAGAAAATTTATATGGAAATGGAAAATACTTACTATATTTTTATTCTTCCTAAAACCACAGCTTTTAGCTGGCTTTACAGCAACTATTCCAACAAATGTCATCAATGCCAGAGCAAAATACTGGCCTCATTTCCCCAATCACTTCTTTTGGACATTAATACAAATTTTGTGCAAAAACTAAGTTTGAAACGCTCTTGGATTTACTGTCCAAACCTAATTTATTCTGCTTGTTAATAATAAACCCAGACTAAAGTTGGAACTCTCAAGAAATTTTCCAGAATAAAGAGAATGATTACGTGTTTTTTTTTAATTCTGAAGGTAGTAGAGAAATTTAGTAAATTATGAAATTAGAATTATATTCAGTTTAGAGTCAACAAATTAATTATTCTTTATTGGTTGGACATAAAGTGCTAAAAATGAAAGCAAAATTCTAGATTGATTAAGGTATAAATGTGTTAACTATACTCACACACATAATTTAAAACAGAGAACAATATAAAAAAAAACACCCTAAATCAAGTATCAAAAATATTAAAATCGGATGCAGACGAGTTGGGGTTGGGGGACCCTGGAGGTGGGGCCTGGCCCTGCTAGGTGCCCACACCTCTTTGCCCAGGTGGCAGGGCCACGTTGGAAATTTTTAAAAAGAAAAGAAAAAGCCAGCAACAGACGTTGCAACGACATTTTCCTCATTGGAGTATGACTGTTATAGCATTTTGTAGCTTCACACAGAGCAGAGAGAAGTTCATTGCCTGAACCCCATTATCGTGGCTGGTGGCTTATGTGCTGCACTCAAAAGCCAGACGCTAATGAAAAACGTTCGTTCTTTGTTTATAATTCATTCACTCATTCATTCATTCACTCACTCCTTTAGTAAATACCGCTAATGTTAATATCCCATATGCTAAATACAGGGGTTGCAGTGAATGAAAACGCCCCTAATTCTTGCCCAGTCGTGGAGTTCATAGTCTCATGAACAAGCAGACGTTTAGCAAGTGAACTTGTAGTAATAAACATATAATTAGCTCACGTGGGAGAGGAAAAGAACCGAATGAGCTGAGGGAAAAAGAGAGGGAAACTGTTTTAAATAAGACGCTCAGTAAGACCCTTCTGAGAAAGGGACATTCGCGCTGACATCCGAGGGGAGACCTTCCCTAGGAGTCAGGGCAGTGCCTCGTACATGCGGAGAACTAAGTAAAGTGACAAAGGTGAGGTTTTAGCGCCCCTGAGAATATGGAGGGCCAGAGAGTAAGGGGTACATGAGAGAAGGCCCCAACCTTCCAGCCCGAAGTCATGCGGTTCCTTGTAAGTGCAAAAGGGCGGCCTTGGACTTGCCTCATAAGGAGAATGATGCAAACGGACTTACATGTAAGTTACCTTGAGGACTTTGTGAGGGGCATGGAGAACAGCAAGCGTGTCCACCAGGAGGGGAGAGGCAGCAGCGGGCGGCAGCAGGTGTGATGCCCACTCTGCCAAATGCGGACGTCCACACGCCGGGGTGATTTCAGCGGGGAGAGCAGGGTTAGTGTTCAAGCCTCTGAATTTAAAAGCGGTGCCTGCGACCCTGTGCTGAATTCTGGGAACAGCGAGCTTGGCCAGAAAAAAGGGAGGGTTGCGCTTCCCCTGTCCATCTGGAGCACACGGGTTGTCCACTGTCACATCTTCCTCCTGTGCGCCACCAGCTACAATCGACCGCTGGCTTCTACACATCCCTGCTCCTACATGTGTGTGTGGACATGGTGCCCCCCGGCCTGGAATTGTCACTCCCCACAGCTCGGCCATGGCCTCCTAGTACCAGGCCCGCCCCACGGGCCATGTTGCATTTCAGCCTCGCCTCCCTAACTCCTAACTTTGCTGCCCAGGCTTGCAAAGCTCTGTCCTAAATGTGAGAATTCACTTGTTCTGGCGGGTCCACTCAGAAGTGTTTGTAGAAGAGGTTCAGCTCTTGTCACTGGGCTTTTGGGCAAATTTTGTGTCCCTTTCTCTGATTATACCGCTTTAGGAAAAATGTATCTTAACCTTGTCTGCCTACCTTTTTATAGTTCAGCCTCCATCTCTCTTTCTCTTTCTCTCTAAACTCTCCTAGCTGTACTTTTCTGTAGCTGTAAATGCCACATAAATATAGAGATTTTTCAGTTTGTTTTCTCCAGCCAAGATAATTCTTCTAAGTGCCAGACTCATGCATCTCACGTGACACAGCCTTGTCAATGCCTCATAAGCATCTAAAAATTCACGTGTATATTTGATCTTGCTCTCTCTCCAGTCCATGGCAAAACAACAACAACAACAAAACACCAGCTCATTCCTTCCTGAATTTTCTCCTTCAGAAAATGACACCAGCACCAGCCTAGCTATTTACCAGTCAGTGCTGACTTTCCCTTCACCTGTAGACCCACCAAGGAAAAGTCAGAAACTTCTTTTGACAGTGTCCTCAGGAACTACCTGGACTTGACTCCTTCTCACAGCGCTTTCCCCACCACCCTCCATTGCATCTTGCTTTGCTGGGACAATAACTTACTAACTCATTTACCTGACTACACACTTGCTACCCTGACTGTGTGCCAAGGAAGAGAGCATATTCTACCTGCAGAGCCAGACCCCCAGAGGCACAGCAATCACACACAGCATGGCTTCTTTTATTTAAATGTACTGGGGTGACATGGGTTACTAAAATTACATAGCTTTCAAGTGTACAGTTCTGTAATTCATCATCTGTCTATTGCATTGTGTGTTCACCACCCAGAGTCAATTCTTTTTCCATCACCATATATTTGACCCCCCTTTCTCTCTTCTACCACTCACTTCCCCCCTCTGGTAACCACTAAACCGTTGTCTGTGTCTATGAATTTTGTCTTATTCGTTTGTTGCTTTCAGTTTTATATCCCACATATGCATGAAGTCATGTGGTTCTTGACATTTTCTGCCTGACTTTTGCTTAGCATGATAATCTCAAGATCCATCCATGTTGTTGCAAATGGCAGTATTTCACCTTTTCTTTTGGCTGAGTAGTATTCTGTTGTATGTACATACCGCTTACACTTTCCTGTGGCAGATTCCAGATTCATTCAGTGCCATGATTAATTTGGAGGGGGAGAAGCCACAAGGCACCAACCTTGAAGTTTCAACCATGGAGCCAGGCATCCTGTGATCCTACAAACATGCACACATTTTTACTTAATTTTTCCTTAGACTATCCAGTACTGCCTGAAAGAGCTTCAAACCCAAGCATAAAAATATTCTTATAGTTATTGCATTTGATTCTCACATTTCTTACATTTTCGTGGGTGTTCAGAGAAGCAAGTGACAAAGTTGAGTATTTCCATTTCTTATGTTGCAGTTTGTGTGAAGCAACACAAATCCATACAGGAACAGCCAAAGGCAAAAAAAAAAACAAAACCCAAAAAACAAAAACAAACAAAAAAATGTTTAATCTGGAGGCATCATTTGTGAATATATGAAAATCCATTATTTACCTTCACCTGCTAAGTCATAATCCAGATTTGGCACATTTCTCTTCCGAGGAAAGGTCTTACTCTGTGTCCTACTGGACAACTTTTCTGCTTCAGCAGAAAATTTTCAAGCTTCTTTTCAATTGTTTCTATTCTTCATCGCTCTGTTCAGCTTTTTCTGGGTTTTTATTCTTGTCTGTGATCAGGAATTCACATCAAATTTGCAAGTCTGTAGTTTCCAGAATCTTTTTAGTTTTTACCCTTCGTAAAACTCTGCACAATTATGTTTCTTAATTTTTACGGGAACATTAACACTTTCTCTAAATGTTCCCGGTTTTGGAGTCACGTTTGAAAATTATTTCAGTGCCTTCGTGTATAATTCTTTTGATCATAAAAATGTGAACTCATTCAAAACAAGAAGGAATTCCTTTTTTTTTTTGTCATAATGCAATGTGAGTGCCAATCCCCCGTAACAGAGCTCCTCAGTGCTTTCCAGATGGAAGCGAAGCCTAGAAGATGACAGCCTGAAAGGAGGCCCAAATAAACCAAACTGCACCTTCCACCAGAGTCACTGTCACAGTGCTTTCTGCCCAGCAGGAATTTCAAATACCCAGACGATTTTTTTCTATGATTTTGTAAGATACCTTGCTCATTTGTCCAGCATGAAAATGACTGGAGAAGGCTGGAGTACCCCAAGGAAAGACAATCCCATTCCCCTTTCATTGTTTTCGTTCCAGAAACCCTCTCTCATTTCATAAAATGCAAAACCAGATTTCCAAGTAGCTTAAATTAATCCATATTTGCACAGCCTGCACTGTATACCATTAATGGAGAAAAAGGGGAAAGACTATGAAATGTATATGAATCTGTAATGCATGACCCTTCCCCACCTCCATGTAATGAAAACCTGAGATTTCTTTTCTTACATGGTTACAGGAGCGAGGGGAAGTGGCACCCCGTGAGTGTGGGCTCTCGATGCAATGCTTCGCATCGCTGGTTAGTAATGCCACATATTAAATTTAACCACCTCATCTTCTTGGTACAGTTACTACTCGATAGAGTTTCAACAGTTTTTTTTTTTTCTTCTTCCCCCTGCTC